TGTGCATGTGTTTGTATAGGAAATCGCATGATCTCGAGTACAATTTGCCAATCAGAGTCGAGTAATTTTGTTGAGTGTACTATAAGTATGCAAACACTCTCCAACAAAGYATTTTGTCACTCTTTGTGCATGTGTCTGTATGCAAACGCTCTCCAATAAGGTATTTTTGTCACTCTTAATGCATGTGTCTTTATGCAAACATCATGATACTTAAATAAACGGTAATTACCAATAGATGCAGTTACTACATTAGTCTTGCAGTGCCTGAATGCTACTAATCCAGCAAGCTCATCCATCATCTTCATTATAACCCCACCAAAGACAAACCCAAGACTACCACACTCTGATGGCTGCACGCTATGAATAAATGAAGACTGGGATGCCAACACAGAGTGAATTGGAACATCAGCATCATGCATTGATGGTATGGTTGTGTTACAATTGCAAGGAAGCTGTAAAATGAAAATGGCATGGCAATAAAAATTAGCTAGATTTATAGTACTAATAAAAGATGGTACAAATTAAGTCATAAATTATTATACAGACTATTATAGACAGCTGTTGTCCCATTGTTATCAAAAAATTAAGGCTCAAGGTTGCAAGCTATTTAAAATATGAAATTCTGTTAGGCTAACAAGCAAGAAATAATTCCTTGACAAAGGTCATTGAAGGAAGCCAAAACCAGTGTTTTGGGCTGTTGCCAAATTTATCAAGATCGCGTAATTAAGAAAGGCCCTGTAAATGATAAGCAAGTACATCAAAAGCATATCAGAAATTATGGGATATCCTCCCTGATTTTTTTCCCAAGCTAGTACACATCACTAGGGCTTTCTGAAAAAAATATCCAGAAAGATATCCCATAAATTGTGATATACTGTTTATATACTTGTATATATACATATATATAAGGGTCAACGTTTATGATGGCTGTATATATAGAAATTAGACATTTTCAAGGTATTAAGCAAAAGCTTTAAAATGATCAAGATCGCACAAAAAATAAAAATATGTATTGAGAACAATTAAATAGTGAAAAATCTTTAAAAATATGATAAGTTCGCCAACTTCAATTTGTTTTTAAAGGGGGACTATCGAAAATCGACTATCGACTATCTACACGAAAATCGTCCAAATTTTAATTCAGCTGAAACTTGACAGAAATGACCCTTAAAAGTCTAATAATCACTGGTTAAAGTTTTTTCCTGATATTCGATTGGCAAGTATACGAATTTTTATAGGAGTATGTGACATCATGCACTCAACAGTAAACATAACTCCATACATTTAGTTGTATTTTTTAATCAAAATATCTTCTAGTTTTATACTCAGTATTGAAGAAGAGATACATGTACCATAAAATGATAAAATGATAAAATAATAGAATGATAAAATGATTCTACCTGTAACACATGAAGTTATTTACAAAGAAATGTATGGAGCGATGTTTTATAAGTTGAGTGTATGATGTCACAGACACCTATAGAAATTCGTAAAAATCTAATACTTCCCATTGGAATATAAAGAAAAATTTTTAACCAGTGATTATTAAACCTTTAAAGATTATTTCATTGAAGTTTCAGCCGAATTAAAATTAGGAAGATATTTGTGCTAGTCCCCTTTAAAAGTTTTAGTTCTGGAAAATAATGCGTTTTATATCTAATGGGCGCAGCTCCAATCTGTATATTGCAATTTATGCATTTTTAATTTTTAATGTACACGTAAATACCTTTTTCAAAAGTTCATGCTTCTCCATTCGAGAGCGTTTTTGGTACTCATACCTCGCTTGTCCTTTTTCTAGTTCTATTTGACTTTGATTTTCTATTGGCGGTACTTCGCCTATGATTCTTGGTTCTTTGGAGTTGGCAGTCCCTTTGACAGGAACGTACCACAGGGACGCTCTGTTTGTCATTCGCCGAGCACCAGTCACTAAATTTTCTGCCCAAACTGATACATTCACTTCTAGAGAGTGTTTGGACGCAAAACCCAGCTCAGCATGGACCTGTACGACTTCGCCGATGTACAACGGCTGTAGAAAATCCGTCCTTTCGACTCTCGCAAGTGCAGCATAAAATTTATCAGTAGAAATTGGACCATTCTTGTTGCAATGGCGTGTCGCGATTATGTAACCAGCTTCTTCCAGGAGCTTCAAAGTAGTACCTCCGTGGACGTTTCCTGCTATATTTGCATCATCAGGAATCATGATACGACAAACTTCTATAGATCCTCGAGAAATAGAATCCAAATATTCGCTGTCATTCTTGCCTTCCTTTTTGTCAGCCATCTTGAATGACCTTTGGATTAGCCACAGGTAGCCCGACAGTTGAATACTGTTGTCAAAACTCTAATCTCAAATACAAAATGAGATGTTATTGAGTGGTTTGCTCACAGTAACGACGAAATTTTGCGACGCTTTTTCTTAATAACTATTTTATGTTATCGGCATCATTATTTTAGATTTATTCATTTTATTATTATATTGTTACCTGAAAAAATATCACGTTGGATTCGAGTTGGACTACCTGAAATTGAGCATGCGCACGAGTGAGACCGGAACTACATTCAAAATGGCGGACGAGGAGGACGAAGAAGAAGTCTGCGATAGTTGGGAAGATATGGCAGATTCAGGGGTAAGATCGCCTATGTTGACGACTACTGTCTCTAAGATATCTGTCCTCGTTGAGTGTGGAATATATTTTTGAGGGATTTCAAACCAAAAACCTTGATATTGGACGTCAAGTTGTTGTCGCTAAGGACACCATGTTTTCATAAGTACATGCATGTACTGATCATCACTAGATCTCCTCATTCGATTATAGTTCTTAATATAATGATTCCAAAAYCCCGCTACTTTTCCTATTTCACAGAATAAAAAAATAATTATACACATTATTAGGATTCGTTTGCATCTACTGAATAACATTTAAAAGCTTATGGAAAGCATTTTCAATCTTGTGCAATGCTCTGCAATATATCCTATACTATAATCGAATTGGAAAAAATAGCTACAAGATGTATAAACTTGAATATCCAATCATGCAGATTAACAAGAATACATAAAGTAAAATATCGAATGCACACATCGAATTTTGGCACTAATAGAACCCATACGATCGAGGCTACCTATATATACCCTCTCTATGTAACTCCTTCCTTATTTCCTTAATTGGCGCCACATATGGTATTGTTTGTTTAAATTATGGATATTTTATTAGTTTGCTTTAAACTGTTTTACTGTTTAATATGAATGATTGATCAAAATAACAATTGATTTCATTATTTTAATTATACTCATTCATTCTTTCATTCTGTCATTCATTCCTTCATTCATTCATT